CCAGAAATTGAGCGTGTCCACTTTCATCCAATGATACTAACGATCATATCTATCTTCAAATGATCTAGGACTTGCTTGGCCAAAGGCTAAAGACATCCATTAATTTGAAAATGGGCATATGGTGTTGGATCATTAGTGAATTACTTTCCGGAATTGGACTAAAAACTTGAGGATGAGAGACATTTGATGGATGCCACATGCGGTTCAGGATACACGGCGACTATTTCCTCTATTTTTTTCTAGAAGTTCTTACTTTCAATTTCTACTTTAGACTGTATGTCCTTGCGTTTTGACGATGCGTTGTCTTTGTTCTTGCGTATTGACGATGCTATATCTTTGTCTTGCGTTTTGACGATGCTATATCTTTGTCTTGCGTTTTGACGATGCGTTGTCTTTGTTCTTGCGTGTTGACGATACATTGTCTTTGTTCTTGCGTGTTGACGATGCGTTGTCTTTATCCTTGCGTGTTGACGATGCGTTGTCTTTGTTCTTGCGTATTTACGATGCTATATCTTTGTCTTGCGTTTTGACGATGCGTTGTCTTTGTTCTTGCATGTTGATGATCCATTGTCTTTGTCCTTGCGTGTTGACGATACATTGTCTTTGTCTTTGCGTGTTGACGATGAGTTGTCTTTGTCCTTGCGTGTTGACGATGCTATATCTTTGTCTTGCGTGTTGACGATGCGTACTTTTTGTCCTTGCGTGTTGACGATGCGTTGTCTTTGTCCTTGCGTGTTGACGATACATTGTCTTTGTTCTTGCGTGTTGACGATGCGTTGTCTTTGTCCTTGCGTGTTGACGATGCGTTGTCTTTGTCCTTGCGTGTTGACGATGCGTTGTCTTTGTTATTGCGTGTTGACGATACATTGTCTTTGTCCTTGCGTGTTGACCATGCGTTGTCTTTGTCCTTGCGTGTTGACCATGCGTTGTCTTTGTCATTATGTAGTATGTTTCTCCCTTGCATGATGACGCTGCGGTATTTTTTGTACTCGCTGTTTTACGATGTGTTGTATTACGTCCTTGCGTGTTGCTATTGTGGTTTACTTCGTCTATGTGTGTTGATTATTGTTCTATATTCTATCAAATGTGCGGTATCAGCTCCTATTGCCCTTCTGACTGTTGTCTTCCCGCTACACTTTTACGTTTTGATTTGTAAGGTAACCACAAAATAATTAATTCGGATACCTGTATCAAGAAAATTCTTCCATACGATTACTATTATTCTAAACTCAAACTGTTTCCTTACAGAAAGTGTCGTGAACAATTAGATGAATCCTCCATTCTGATCATATTGTTCCGGATTCAGCTGATTAGAGAAAGTAGGGTTGTTTTAATGATTTGCGTTATTGTCCGACGAGGGTTATAATCCAACCAACCGAGTTCCTCAGCACATGCATTTTAATGTTAATTAGCTATTTATGTCTCACGGGATTTAGAATCGAGGCTATGGTTTGCCCTAAAGGCTCCGGATAAGGAATTTAAGTACATGTTCGTGATTATCGTGTGCGGTAAAAAGCAGATATCGTTCTAGATGAAGACATTACGAGTACCATTCGCGGTTTTGTCCTTCATCAGGTCTACCTTCAATATCATAGTTTACTGCCCATATAAGTGATATTGTTATAAGAGGTCGGTTCCTGTTAGATGATGAAATGTCTTTCAAAAAAAACCAGTCAGTTTCGTTTAGTTTGTAGTGATATGAAAGTAAATAATCAATAAAACCATGAATAAAAATAGTCTTTTGCACAAAACAAAGGTGTTATTTTTCCATACGCGCCTGAAGGTTAAAGGATAAGCTTGTGACAAGAAGAAGGAAAAGGTGCTGTATATACATACGCACGGTATTGTCACTACAGGAACTTATCAACAATCATTGTAAAACGTACTTGTGGAGCAATTTACATTATTGTCATACCATTCTTGACATCAATTTGTTCATTGTAAAATCACAATGTTAGCTCTGGTTACCACTGAAATTTATGTTTGCATATTTCCAAGCAATTATTCATGGTATAGCTGTAACATGTGGTTGTCATCTGAAAGGGGTCCAATTTATTTATTTATTAAATTGTTGCCGGAAACTGATGATTTTAATGACTTAATTCAACTCATGTTTATTGATTTTAAAACATTTTATATCAAAATTGAAGTTGGCGTAAAGCATACTCAGAAACATGCATTAAGCAAATATATGAGACACGACTTAAAGAGTAATAAACGACAGGATTGTATTTCAAGAAGAACAACCTAATTCTAGTAAAATAAACACGCAGATCAGGTTGAAATTTATATGCATGTATCAATAAACTAAATATGTTTGATAGATATAAGCTATAGATCTGTTAAATGAAAAAAAAATTGTATTTGACCTTGATGAAGATGTGTAAACCTGACAATACTTGTGTTGTGAACATTTTATTGTCATTCTATTATTAAAGTATACAACAGATAGTGAGGTTGTCATTGACATCTGTTGTCGAGATATGAACATCTACATTATTTGTATACCTTATTTGTTTTCCTGTGTATGACAGATGTAGGTAGAATAAGTAGCTACATCATGGATATAAATGAAAACAAGGACACATCATGTGAATTATTTATATGTATATATCGAGTTAACATAATCGTCAAGAATAATTGCTATCGAACGTGTTAAAAACCTCATGCTCCAAGTTGTTAAAATAATTATATGCCAGCTTCTGAAGAGTGTATTTTTATCATTAGATTGACCTATTTCCAAGTCATATAGCATGCAGATACGTTGAACAACGTAAGACTTGCATGTTTTGCATAACTCTGAGATTTTTTCTCTTTTTTTGTTTCTTTTCTTTGCCTCCTTTTTTTTCAAACTTCATGAAAAATTTGGGCAGTTTTACGCAGCCTTCAGTCCTTAACATTATTATATTCAACACTGTCTTTTATTGTATCAATAGCCTTCGTGGTGGATTGCACATACTGAACAGATATTGAAACTGTCCAATATTAACACAAAGAGGTTATGTGTTTTAAGTAAGATATACATAAGATACAAACTGTCTATTATGTAGAATATTGGACAGTCTGAGGCGCGTATCCTTTACTTACACAACAAATTTACAAAATATGAACAACCTATGTGTTTTACATGTGTTGTAATGTTGTTATCCATTCTGTGGACCCTTGGGTCTGTTGAATTGGAAATAATTAATTAATTAAACATTATAACATCAAAACTGCGCACATCCAATAAAACTGTCACAATTGCTTCTAAAAAACGCGTTCTGTTGCCGCAACCATTATTCAATACTTTCATATACTCACTAGGTAAGTATATACCCCGTTAAAACGTAACGTGTCTTAATCACTTAGAGTACCCAATAAAATATTGTGCCTTAAACATTGTTAAATGAACATTAACTATACATAATAAACATTATGTACGTCTAAACATTATTGAATTTATAATTAGTGTACACATTAAGAATATTGTTCGTCCTAAACATTATGAAATTAATGCTAAGTATATCGAATACAAATATAGTGTCTTAAATTTTATCACATTATCAATAAGTGTACCCATATAAAATATGGCCTGTTTCAAATATCATTGCACTGATTGCTGTAATACCTGAAAAATTGTAGCTTTTTTCACATTTACATAGGTATACACAATACATAACAGTCTACCTTAAATGTATGAACTACTTTGTGTCTTAAACGTTATTATTTAAGCAATACGTGTACCTATTAAAATAGTGCGAGTCCCAAATAGAAAGCATGGGTCGCAAACATCAAATAAACACAAAAACACACCCAATAGAATACGGTGTGTCTTTAATGTTATCAACTTAACACTGAGTATGCACAATGATATGTTGCGTGCCCCACTACAAGCACCGTTGACATGAAAGGTTCTACTTCTATCTCTAAGGCAATCGTTCACACCTAATACACATACAACTGAAACAATTACTGAGGTCGATCACCTCATCCTCGGACTATATTTATTGTACCAGCGATGTCAGATATCGGTTAATCTGCGAGAGGTATAAGCGAGTACATCACCTACTGTGATTCCTATTAAGCCTGACAGTGAGGGGTAGCCTGTTACTAATAGTATAGTACAAATCAGTCTGGGTAGTTATCACTCACACACTAAATACATTTAAAGAAAGTTACTTCAAGACCGAAACAATTATAAGGTTAATTCTTCAAAAAGATATACCTCGAATAAATTGATTCACAACTCAAAACAAATGATAAAGTGTTTACTGTTGACTTTCAATAACAGTACCACAAACAAATACTATAATTCGGAAAAAACCTGAAATTCAATATTTGTCATAAATTACAAAACAATGATTACTATAATTCGACTTTAAAAAGCGAAACAACTCATAATAATAAACAACTAAGGTTTAAGTGATGATTAATACAAACAAAATAGTATACAATGCAGTGTATGTTTGAAATAATTGCTAGAAATACGACGACAGTCTGTCGACGACGCTGTGTTGTGGCTGTGTTTCTTTTAGAGAGTTGAAAATCTACAATGCACGATTTTAGCAGAGAACGGACGATGTTGAGCGAATGCCGACATAACCTTATAGCTGCCTGGGTTTTCATGAAACAATATCACCGGCACCTCCCCTGGACAATTAGTGGCAGCATTATACACATACCTTGCAATATGTCCACGATAATCATTGTTCCTACCACCAGATGGCGCCTTTGAGTACCAGAATCTGCATAGATAATGATAATGTATCTAGGGAATTACTAACAAATTATATCTAACAATGGTTTAAATGGCTTACGAAAAACCAGATTGCGTAGACAGATTTTCAGCACATTTTAGATTTCTGATAATATGTTTTTGAAGTATGACACCCAATATTATTTTTCAGTAGCGCGGCCTGTCAACAGCGTATAAATTGATGTTATATATGTCAATATGAGATGTTAATCGCTGTTGAGTACTACAACAAATATATCCACTGTTTTTTGTGTCCTTGCAGAGGTGAAACAATCGACGCCTGTAGACGGACATCCGAAACCGCCAGTGTCGTATTTCCTGTCTAATTATCCGTCATGCTAGACATCCGTGTGCTGCAGATTTAGTGATGAGTGTCCGCTGATGTGTATTGGTGTATTGGTGATTAATGTATTAGAACAACACTGCTTTAAACATCCCTGTACGGTTCGTACAGCGTGGAAATGACAGGCGCAGGATTTAAGAATCACTGGCGCACTTTAATATCGACATCCCGCGTGACATTGGGCTATATAAACATCCTAGTAGCTTTCCATTAACCATTCATGACAACCGCATGGAGCACCATGGAGCATTGTAGCAACGACAGCTACGACAGCTACGACAGGATGTACTGTAAGTCTTGAGTTGCCAGCCACTTACTTGTTTTCAAGAATTTTTACTTCATGATATGGCGACTTCGACGACATACGATTGGATCACAACGGAACATTCTATAGTTGCCACAGACCTGCCGCAGTATATATTAAACTTGACCCTGAACTCAGCCAACCTGACCACAACTAACGCCACCAATGTGACACTACCCACCATTGGCCGAAAGGTTTCGCCAACATCGACCGCCATACAGTTTACGTTTGGTGTAATAGGGAATTTGTTAGCCATCTTTGTGCTGGTCAGATCCGCTAAAAGTCATAAATGGCGGGTTTTTTACCGTCTGGTCGGTGCTCTGGCTGTGACAGACCTGTTTGGCATTGTGGCCACTTCGCCTGTAGCCTTCATTGTGTACGCTAACAACCTGAGATGGGTTGGCGGCCAACCCCTTTGCGATTACCTTTCCTTCATGCTTATCTTTGCTGGTCTGGCAACCGTGTTTATTGTAGCAGCCATGTCGCTTGACCGTTTTGTGGCCGTGTGGTTTCCGTATTCGTACAGCGTCACCATGAAGAAAGCGTCGCTGGTCAACCTAGCAGTGGTCAGTTTATGGATAGTATCCATTTCCATCGCCTTTCTTCCTCTAATTGGCCTCGGCCAAAACGTGCTACAGTTCCCGGGAACATGGTGCTTCTTCAATTTCTTCGGGACCGATATCAAAGACAAATGTTTCGCCTACTTTTACGCCACGATAGGAATTATAATGATATTGTTGACAGCCATTCTGAACTCTTTAGTAATTCTCATGTTAGCTAAGGCAAATAGACAAAACGGGGTGAGGCGGAAGGCAAGCAGTGTGGGATCACGGAGTGGAAAGTCACGGCGGAATGATGTGTTCATCATGATATTCCTAGTGGTGTTGATGGTGGTATTCGCCACGTGCTGGACTCCTCTAATGGTATGTATATACTAAATAATGGCATATGGGATGGGCAAAGAAGTACTAATGACAGTTCAGACAAAGACATTTTTCACATTTTCAGGGCGATCTGACCCTTTATCAAGATAGGAACATGAAAATTTACATATCACAACATAACACATAGAAGAACAGTCACCATGAAACAATATTACAATACAAAATACATAATGGCATGTATATACCTAATAATGATATGTTTATAATGGGTTGTTTATACTTAATGGTATGTTTAGGCCAAAGAAAATAAAGAACTTCTTAACTTTTGCGTTCAGAAGCAAATACGAAATTGTCTTATAATACACGTTATTGGAGAAGGACCAGGTCGCTGTGTAATTCTAGTACACGATAATAATAATAAAATATGAAAAATCTTCGGGTTGACATACATGCATAGTGTATATTAGATATTTCCACTATTAATTTGATAAAAAGAAATGCAAATTACGAAGAAAGACAATTTTTGACCGGTGCCTTTACTTGAAGTCGAAATCTTTATCTGATGTATTAAATAGTAAATGATTCCCAACATAATCGACCAACCAATCCCCACCCCCAACCCCCATAAACAAAATACAAAAGATTAATAAATACATGCTTTTGTTGCATTTGTTCTTCGAGGCACTGGTAAGATGACATTAGAAATGAAATGTCTTCTTTCGTAATTAAATGTGATATAATTTAGTATTCTAAACGAATATGGAATACGAGCTTCCACACGTATTTCATATACTGGAAAATTTAACTCCACAGATATTGTATACATCATCATAAAATCTCATTATTTTTATATTAATCAGCAGTATAGTTACTGCGACAAACAAGTTGATGTTTACCCATACGAATTCGGTACGGGACTTTTCAATCACATCTAAACAAAATTTTGATTGTGCTCTTCTGAACGGCAAAGGGTAACTAGATTGAGTGTAAACATAAATGATATTTTTTTCCTTTCTCTCTGTACATGTAAATTGTAATTTCTAAGCCATAGATCGTAATCATACTGTTATTGCCGTCGGCTACAGATTTATTTAAGATACAGGGATAGTCCATACATACAACAGAAAGGACAGTCATATATTAATTGTTATACTCAGTCAATTATCATCTGCTGAGAAACGTTCACTTACATAGCACGATACAGAAACATATACACAGGCATTACCGGGACAGAACAACCGATAAATGAGTGGGTTATCGTGAGGAAATTCATTAATCAAATGGCAAAACAATCTGGGTTACATGAAAATTTTACATATGTAGCTGTGTTGAAATCATTTACTACGATGAATCATAAAAGCCGAAAATAGAATCTTAACATTTTTAAAGCAATACATCCTCTTAATCATGCTTTTATTTTAATGAAGAGGTTTATTATGTGCTTTTACCTGATACAACTGCGTTCTTTATTTCAGATTCGTATTTATATACTTCAAGGTACCCACACTTCTTCCTCCTCATTAGATCGCCCCGCCGATCTGTTAGCTCTGAGAATGGCCTCCATTAACCAACTTCTAGATCCCTGGGTCTATATTCTGTTGCGGAAGGAAAACATGTTAAGGGTGCTTAGGTTGATGGAAAGGTTTCGGAAACACAAAGGTTTTAGGTATAAACAGGAATGTGTTTAAACGGAATGGTGCACTTAGACGTGAATGTAAATGATGTATCTACGTATTGTTGTAGTTTTACTACAAATGCATAAATATACACATGTGTGCGTGTATGTGTGTGATAGGCATATGTGTATGATCCCTCAACCCTATATAGATATGTATGTATATGTCCCATTGAACAATTGAAGTTCTCTACAAATAAAAATATGATTTAGAAACATGAGTAAATAATGAAACGTTCCTTCTTTATAAACGTGTTACGCCATATGTGTCACGTGTCAGCAGCAGCAGCGTGGTGATTGGTTGTCACATTTTCTATGATTGGTTGATAGATATCAACATTTACTGCTTTCTAGTCAATCAGTCAGCAACGAAGTATTATTTATATATTAAAGGCGGGGCGATGTTTAATATAAAATGTATATAGAGGATCTATATATTATGTATGCAATATGCAAAATTATATGTAATATATATATATAGCTTTGTATAATACTAGTGTAAAACATTGGCTGGGCGTTTTGTTAAAAATGTTATAAACAGAGCGGTGTATGCTATATATCAATAAAATATAAAAATAAAACAACTGCAGGGCGATGTATATCATATAGCATATGCAGGCAGGGCGATGTATATTATAGTATATAGGTAGGGAAATTAATGTTATATAATATAGGCAAGGCGATGTATATGACATGGCATAGGCAGGCAGGGCGATGCATATTATGTTAAATAGGCAGGGAAATGGATATTATATAACATAGGCAGGGCGATGTTTGTTATATAGTTTAGGCAGGGCGTTGTATATTCTATAGCATAGACAGGGCGAAGTATATTATATAACATTACATATTATGTTTATAACAATGTATTACACGACCATAACTATTATATACAAATACAATGTTCTTCCAAAATACTACTCGTGTTTCAAATGTAAGCAAGTGAGTGGTACGTTATTTTTCTTAGACTTATTTCCGCGATCACGAGATTAAGCTGTCAAGGTCAGAAAATTGATTATTATATCCAATAGTTGTGACATCAGCCGTGCGCAGCCTGTTGGTGAAATGAAAACAGGGAGACGCGTAAACAATGATTACAGGCGCAGAACAGAAGCCAAACTCTAATAGTTGAATAATGTAGGTTACATTTATTTATAAATACTGAAATAAACTCGAAACAAAAGAAAAAAGCATTATTTTGAACAGAATAGTTGGTATTAACATATATTTATATATCATTAATTTATTCATTAATTAAGGACTTTAGTCGAAGGCAATACGTTGTTATGTGGACCTAATAGAGTGATATCAACCTATGACTGATATTACTCTATCACGTCCGTATAACAACTTTTTGACCGAGACAAAAGAGTTAACTCTGGCTGAAGCGGCTTTTATGATTAACTATTTTTCCGACATTTTCTCATCATGGCTTTAAGTTCAATATTATTCCTGAACGTATGTTTATTATTTCTTTCAAAGATAGAAAGTGACATTATACGATGTATGACATAGAGAGATTTGTTTATATTGTTTAACATATGCAGAACTGAAACATAATGTAGAGTAAGGCCTTTCTACTATATAGCTGTAACATATTGCAATACTAGTGTATATATATATATATATATATATATATATATTCATTGTTTGACTTTAAACAACCTTTCATCTCGTAAATGTTGCGTGTGACAGAGTTTGTAAATCTTCAAAATGAAAAAAAAAATGTAATTTAACTCTTTTTTTTTTGTAATATGTTTTCCCGTTACACAAACCGCCGAAGTGCTGCTTTCTTATTTCGGACCTGTAGCTGCAGTATGATTGACCCCCTGACCCTTGCACATGTGTATGATGATTGTCTTGACCCTTGACCCTAGCATTAGTGTTCATGAATGTCATATCCACTTGCTAGCATATTTTTGTATTGTATATTGACATGCCTACACCCCTGGTCATCATATTGTATCATGATTGCGTTATCCCTTGTAACATCCAAGAATATATGTTGGTTTTCAGTTCATTGTAGTAGTAAAGAGTCTGGTTTTGCTTTGGTTTACACTTCCTGCAACCGAAAACTTATGTCAGAGACTGTGTGTGTAATATAACAGCGATTGAAACCTACCTTGCACGTCATTTTGTAACATATCCTTAATGGAGTATCTCCAAATTCTAATAACTGCACAAGAACCTTTATAAACAACGTTTGGACGCTGGCTTTAGTTAGTAACTTAACCGAACCATTAACCAAACTTCTGAATATCGCCCTCCATACCATTAAGTAAGGCATGCAGACGTAGTGTATACTCAGAAGTGGAATGAATGGAGTGTGGATTTCGAACAACTCAAAAAGTGTTTTGTTCAATCTTAATTGTTCTCTCCTCAGAACATTTTATTTCTTTACACAACCATACCTTAACTAAACTCAAGGGACGTTCTCTTCTTACAAGAGCTTTCTTCTTTAAGATAGGCAAACGGCGATATGAATACGTGGCTAAAAACTATTTTGAAACATATTTTATAAAAAAAAAAAAAAGACAAAAAAGGACGAGAAAGGCCGGGATGAAATATTACAAAATCTGATTGACCTAGTTTCTGATTTACGTAATCTTTATTGAGTTTTGTAGCACGAGTTTCAGGCAGACTTTCGTCATTCCTTTGAAAGAAAACATATGTTGCTTACATGTAAGGCTGAATTTATTGCAGAAATTAACAGGATTTGAAGAAAAGCTTGCCAAGTCCTTAAATTTCACTATGAGATGTATCGACTATGTCATACCTTTTTATTACAAAAATGTGTATACGTCGATAGTTTATATCCTCCTGAGCTTACAATCAAGGACAATACAGATACTTCGGTATCAGCCGCGTTATTCGATGATTAATTACAATTTGACTTCTATCTATCTATATGTTATACTCCAAAGATACCAACATGGCTTAAATGCGGAGGGGACTTACATGGACAACAAGCTACTAATGAGTTCGATAAGCGTGACGATCTCGATATTCAAAAAATTGAACTTTCCCTTTTCGGTAGCAACATCCCCTCTTCCCACAATCTTTTGTGTTGGAATATCGCGGTTGGTTTTTTATCAACGACTTTACTCCGAATATGATTTGTATAATATATACCGATTACTGACGGAAAACATACAGGACTGGGTGCCAAAAGTTGCATTTTGATGAGAAAAATTTGGAAAATGTCAAATGTTTGGTAATATGTTTTCCATTACGGCAGTGATGGATGTTATGGATAATCACACAATCCATAACCGCTGCAGTGACCCGAAATAATCATTTGTGAATTTTTCGACAACTTTTTTTAACTGTCTACGTAGGATGACCGAGCAAAACACATTTGTGGCCAATCATCTGTGTTCGAGAAAATTCATCTACAAAAGCAATTTAATTCACGTTTTGAATAGTCAAATTAAGGGGTATTACAAGTATGCCTGTCAGTGCATGACTAATGGGATTTCTACCCTGCCAATGCGTTGTACATGTATATACCTAACCCGTGTAAATTCTGCCTTTGTATAAACATGTGAATAATTTCCCTAGCTGCAATATGTACATTTTGGGATACCTTATTATGATTTGAGTGCATAGACCTCGTTCTTTTTGCTTTTACTGCAGTTGTTTTAATCCTTGTGCGCGATAATTAACTGTAAATACTAACCACAAAGTTACCGTTTAAAATAACTATTTTATGTATTTGCCACTAAAAGTAGGAAGTGCTACGTAAAATCTGTTTTAAAACCCTCTTCCGGTAGTTGTTATTTGTAAAATTTTGTTAAAACCATTTTGTGTCTCATGATCCTAATAATTTAGAAGCAGATCATTTTGTCTTATAGCTGAATGGATATGTTAGTAGTCTGTCAATATATTTGATTGTTTAGGTTATGGTTACATAAATATCTGATACCCGATAGGAGCTCTCAAACAACCCTATTGGTATAACCAATACTCCAGAGACGAGTTTTAATTTAAATGATATTTGTAGTCGAGTGGTATCTCTGTCAATATTTCACTGCATTTCAGTGTACAATTAAATAACCTATACCTCGGTATTGACCGCTAATGCATTAGCTTCCTAGTAGCCTGTTTGTGAAAACAGATCAAGGGGAAATTCATTGCTGGCAAACCATGAACTGAGATAGCCTACCCGGAAATACAGTAACAAAATGCCCCCTTCATCCCTCTTTGTCTACAACGGTATCAAGTTTCGTTTTTGTTTTTGTGTAAAGTGGAACAAAGTACATAGTTCTATAACACAGCATGGAGGTTCACTTGGAGATGTCACTGCATGGCTATGTGTACGACTTGTTACGATATGTTAATGGTTCATATATCGATAAAGTTGACACTACATTCATTTCATCATTTCTTTCGTCTTTTCTCCAAATTGATTTATTTACTTATTTATTTGTCATTGATACTTTATAATCTTCGCTAATGATGAGGTTGCTTTGAATGTTTTCTTTAATGTTCACAGTCGTTGTCCTCCTGTGTAGTCCAATTAGAACAAATCATTAAATCAATATTTAAGTACCAGAACAATATGGATGACTATGTATCTCTATTATATATTGTAAATTACATGCTTCGTGTCATCTTGATTTTGTAGGTGAGGATAATTATCAACCAAAGTGGCGCCTATCCTGTCGACCACTTATCCGATCTGATGGCCGTCCGGCTTGCGTCGATAAATCAAATCCTTGACCCATGGGTGTACATTCTTTTTCGTAAAGAATTCCTTAACAGACTATTGCGGTTCGGGAAACGACACACTAACGCCGGAAGTCTGTTCCATAGATTGGCTAGCACTCGATCAAGGACCGGAAGTGAGAGGAGCATGACAGATGACGTATTTGAGCATCCAGTGACAGATTGTGGGGAAGTTTTATTAGAATCGTCAGAAAAGACGGACAAAATTAAAAGTAACGGAGTGAATGGTGACATTAAGGAGAGTGTTGCCTAACGCGTATTGCTTCATTGAATCCTAGGTATTTTATATATTTTACATATTCTAACAAATGTTATACTTTTTATGCCTGATGATAGTGAGTTGATACTTTTGTATGTCGTGTGATAGGGAGATGATATTGAGATAAAACTTATTGATAGTAGTGAGAGAACAATGCATGTGCTTGTGTGTGTACCCATCAATTTTCAAAGGTTTAATGACAAAGGCCTTGTAAATTATTCAGTATAAACTGTCACTTTTCTAGTTTTTATCTTGTCCAGATATGATATAAATTCCAGATATAAAACAACCTCTAAATATAAAAAATAAAAGGTATATTTTCACTTGCACGTGTTTTCGTTGTTTTGTATGGGCTTCAATTGTTACCAAACATTGAATTAAATATTTAATAGCACGGCAATCCAAGATGTTATTCAATAATGAATACTTCTACTGTTGGCATTCAATGTTTTCCGTCGAAAGTATAGATATCTCTTTTTTATTTATTTATAGACATTATATTAATATAAAAAGCTGGACTAAAAACACATTATGACAAAATGTAGGTGTGAGCCGGATGGATACATCAATGACATTACCGTTTTAACACCATAGCACCACTTGGAATTGAACATGAAGTGAGTAGACCCGGTTTTCTCTACGCATTCACAATGGCAGAGGCAAGAGTACAACAAAACGTTTTCACGTTTCCTTCATATACAGTAAAATGTTGTATTTGCTTGTTTATCATTTTTAAAACTTAAATACATATCGTCATGATTCTACATATCTGATTATCAACCTACATATGTTGAATGCTTTCTTTTAGGACAAATTCTAGCTGACCTTAACTCCGAAGGCAAATCAGAAAGGGGCAGTAATAATAAAATATCCATGTGGTCATATTTCCCAATGCTTTTTGCTGTGGAACGGAAATCCTTAAACCAGATAAGGACATGAATAATCATACCGTAATAAGTTTCAGAAATCAGAAAAAAAATCTATGGAGAGAAACAATACGTTTGGAAACAAATTTTGATATTTGTTTCTCTTTTTAATCCATACGATTATGACAACAAGAATCAAATCTATAATTGGTCAATCAATGAAAGTCTTGTGGGCAATATCGATATGATTTTAAGTTTTAGAACAATACTGTTATTAGAGTGTCTTTTATAAAGATAAAGTAAATAAGACAAAATAACTTGTACGATGTAAAGAAACCGGGGGGAAAGGACAGAAAAGCAAACAGGTACAGAAGACAATAGGAAAAATAATAAGTTAGATATGAGTGTCAATTAATACCTAAAAAGAAGATATAATGAAACAATAGCTATACCAGGGTTGTTGGATGTATTTCATGGATTTATGTCATTAAAATATGATCACATAATTTTAAAATGAATTCAACACTCTTGGCAAAAAATTATTCGATTACGCACATATTCATATTGGCCCAGAAAATAACAACTTTCAGATAATCTGATATCGCCCCAAGACAGCAGCGTACACAGATCTTGCTAAATGTTCATCCTTGTTAACTAACTGACAGTATGTTGATTTCTACTGGATTTTATTAAGACGCGGATACTTGGATACAAATAAGAATAGTATTTATTAATGTATTCTGAAAATATATAAATATTACAATATTACACATTAAATGATATAGATATATTAACATCAGAAAGGTTATCGTAATGCCGATGTTAATATATTAAGTAGCGGCAGTTCAGTAATTCTTTCTCATCGTAAAAAAAACCAGTAACCAGCTTGTCTTTTATGACAAGTCACCATCCATTGTGTTGTGTTGTAGACATTAAAAAAACCTCAATTGGTCATATGTTTAATCCGTATTTCACGAGCAATAATATGTATTTAATATCAATTAAGAAGATATAATATATCTTTATGTGTTAGAAATGTTTGTTCTTTAAGACATAGCCATGTTCTAATATATGAGTAGGACACAGTCATGTGAACAATTAATGGCGTCATTCATTTAGGAAGGACTTGCATTGCCTAACAGTAATAAAGATGTTCGAACATAGACACGAACATATCGGTCTAATATAAGACAAAATTCACATTTCAATTTGTTATGGAATTTCATATGCAGCGTACAAGCAGTTTTCTGAAACAGTCGGCGAGATTGTCACACAAATTGTTCAGGAAAAATATGAAAGTGACTCGTTTCAAAATACCTATCTCAGAAAACGATTAGAAAAAACCGTATCGTCATATTTGTGATATTGAGAATAATTATATCAATATTGGCTTTGACTTGTCAACCAAGGAGGAAGGAATTGTCAAACTGTTTACAATGTCTGAATATCAAAAACCAAAACAACAAAAAAGCAGGGATTTTGAAATTAGGTAATATAAAACAGTAGTTTGATTACTTTGCTCCTTTTTCAATGTTTAATCCATATTCAAATCTATATTTGAATATGAAATTGAATACTGTGAAAACTGCTTCTGGTTCTAATGCTTTTTCATATAGTCTTTATCACACCAAGATAAAAATCATGACATCTACTAATTTTGCACGTCTTTAAACACACGACGAAATTCTTATGAGCAAGCAAAAAAGACATTAAATACTAAGAAAAACTTAAAAAATACCAGAATCGACACAGGTTTTCAACTTAATTTTATGATAAAACATTTCACTGCATTCATTTTTCACGCAGTGTGATTCCCATTAGGAGAAAGGCAAATTCAATGAAAAGCATAAACGCTTCATGTTGAATTTTCTCATAAATTACTTAAATTGCCCATGGGCAGTAAAAACAAAACAATACTAAAAAATATTGCCTATTTTTTTTGAAAACGAAAATTAAGTTTTGTCCATGATTATCTGGGTTTTTTTTATCATCATTGTAATAAACAATATTCAAATTTCAAGAGTTAATCGTTGCTGATTGTGCAATGAACTTCCTGGAACAGATCGAATTCAGAAAGTAAATGATATTTATAGTGCTTCGATGGAAAATAATCATGTCAGTCATAGCTGATTTGAACTCCTCAGTTTAATATACAGTTAAATTTCCCGTAAACAAATGAATATTAATGTATAGTAACGGAAGTAGGTGTAAATGAACGAACTCTGATATGTTGTCAGAGAACTGCAAGTAAATTATATTTCAGGGTTTAAATATTCATGCAAAGGGGAAATTTAACCATGCAAACCTTAATTAATGTAGAATTATCACGCAACTGCAGTTTTTATAGTATGATGTCCAATTGTCAGTAAAATTGATGACAGTTTTGTTATGTGGATACCATGGATGAACTTGATAAATAAGCAAATAGATCAGTGTATCGTATGTAGACACCCAACTACCAGGAACACATAATACATCTGGTATTGTGTAGGAAATATTTACAGTCGTTTAAGGGGAGATAATCAAAACTATCGGGCAACTGCTCACATACACGAAAATGGTTAACAGTAAGACTGACTCCGAGTAATAAAGTAAGAGACAGATTGGACAGACACCGAGAAACTATTAAGGAAATGTATTGTGCACATTATGGGAAAAAACGATTTAAGAAATAAAATAAATTAATATACAATACTGATATAGAATCCTGTGTCTAGCAAGAATAATTCACCACTCCAGTGCGCTTAACAGAGCATACGTCCAAGCGTCGCAGTTGATGTTGTTATTCAAGAACTTGCTCACAATATCATGACGTCTGTGATCGATGTCCTCTGCTAATGCACAAATTCACCAACACAGGATTCCGAAAGGTGCAGGTTAATGAAAACTAACAGTTGATGGTTGCCATCCCATCTCTCATCTTATCCCATCTCATCTCAACTCATCTCATCTCATTCTGGAAAACATTATTTCTTTGGATGATATCAAGGTCGTTGCTTTTGATTATGTTCAGTAGTAACCCTTGTTTTATTGATGTTACTAACCGAAATGTTATCGATTTTGAGTTTGAACCCCGGTTTTGTTGACATTTTATTATTTTCTTTCTGTTAATCATTTAAATTGTTGAAAATAAAGCCGCACAACACTTTCTCGGGTGTGGAATTGCATCAAATAGTGCGATGTATTGAAACATGGACTAAGACTTTTACATGTTTGTTTACAGATTGATGTAGGCTGGTTGTTTTGTTTGTGTTATACAAATACTAACCTCATCGCTCTTTAAAAACATGCATGGTATTCATCTTTCTCACAAAAATTTTGGAATATGGAAAATACTTTTTTTTATCCCTACGAGTCTCGAAACATTGACAATGTTTGGTTTTATAATTATGAAAAATCAAAATTTAGATAATCTTATTTCGTTGAGGCTAATAAGCTCATCCGAGTATAACACCACTATCAAGATTCATAAACCATAGCACAAATGTCCTTTTTCAAATACTACTAAATCAGTTTTGTGCGATGAATGAAGTGAGAGAAACTTTCAGGGTCAGAAAAATCCTCAGCCGCAAGAAACATACTCTTCAAAGCCTGACCTAGAGTATTGAGGATAGCTTTCACGTCATTAAGTTGCTAGACATGAACAAAGCTAATAAATGGCGTATGCCGTATGATTATATTTGTGAACAGATTTCAAGATTTCTATCCATACACCCAAACACACTTTAGTGTATAAGAAGAGGTCAACAGGTATAACAAGTTTGTGACATGGTACTGACAACGCACCAAAATAACATACTCCAAACAAACAGGATGTGTGTATTATTTATCAAATAAATATGTTACACAGGCAAACAAATGCTTAAGACAAACAACAAATCAAAAACATAAGAACAACTTCATTTAACTCATTGTCCACAGATACAAATTGTTTACGTAGTATATCGCAAAAATAGCCGTGATTTGCAAGTCTTGTATTTAATACGAGAAACATTTGCAAATTTCACAGACGTGAAACTCACATAAGAATAATAAAAGACAACAACCCAACATGTATATTACGAGATAATCGACAGGAAATACATGCATAAGCACATTTTAAAAAGCAAAACATATGTTTATATGCTATTGTAGCAAAATGATAAAAAATGACTGAATATATATTAATACAGCAGTATATACGTTCCTACGCTGCTGGGCTTATAAATGAAAAGTACGATCAATGTGTAACATATGAACAGCTTAATGTTTAGAACGCCATTACACAGAAGCATGTTAAAAGTATTTTATAAAGAGCGACTGAATTCAAACTAGTAAAGCAATACCCTTAAATATGACATATAATACAAAAAGCTTCATGGGTATGAAAAACGGAAAACAAAAGTTGTCACCATTGTGTCGAAATACGCATAAGACAGTCCTGACTATCAAAAAACTAGATAGACGAAAATGGCTAGGACTCCTGTATATTTGTATAAAGTAAAGCAAACATTGGATATATGCAGGCTGATTTAAAACTTTGAAGTACGAAACAAACATACTCGTTCTTTAAATACGCACATGTCCTATATCTTTCTAAAAATAAAGAAGCTTTGAATGTGTTTTCAACGATAACATTTCTTTGCAAAATGTGTTGGAAGAATGTGTTAATGGATAGTAGGCGTTCCATTGGCGTAAAAGTCTGTTCCTTTTCTTGTTAAACTTTCATTCCTGTTTACCATATATATCTTGTTTAAATATTTCTATTTTGCTCTTTAACCGGGTTTTTTCTGTTCTCTGTTCAGAATGCTTCTTGTTTTGCCTTTCCTTCTGTTCCTGGTTTGCTCTTTAGTCTTTTTTTGTTGTGTGTGTTTTGTTTTATGCGTTATCATTTCACTATGTCGTTTATTATCAATTTACGTCTATGAGAATGAAGATATTGAAGCTCGTGGTCTCCATTGAAGCGTGTCAGTCAAATAGACGCATACATTATTGCTAAAATCAACATGTTGCATTCTTTAAATACAGAACGACTAGCATTGAGGGTAGAGGGGTGTATTTATTTCAAACATACAATAGTTAACTTAAAAATGTTCAAATGACACGATGTTTAAAATGGCAAAGCAAACTAAAATCAATTTGACAATCATTCATGACGTTCTTGATTTAATGCCACACGGTGAAATTATTGATAAAATAGATATTGCCGTATTCCCCTGAGACTTCCTACCATTAAGTGTTAAATTGTTACAAACGATACAAAAACTACATTAAGGCAGTTTAATGGAGTTGTTTGTATCAGTAATTGTTCAACCATCATACAATGTGTCAACATGCATTTCTATATAAACAAAGGTTAAAATTATATATAACAAAGAAGTAATGACGACAGTGCAGACAAGGAAAATTGTCCGGGCAATTTGTCCCCTTTTAAAACCAAAAATATGAACACTTATATAATTTATCACAACATTGAAACAATCGTAAACAGTCACTATGAAACAATACTATAACATAAAATACGTAAACTAAAAAACCCAGTTATCACTTGTTAAATATACTGCTGTTATCGCATTTTACCAGGGTTAGTCTGTAACCGAAGGCTAATTAATTGTAAAATAGATGCATTGAGAACAATCTTTAACTGTGATTGTTAGTGGGGGAAAAAACACGTATATAGGTCAAAGAAATAAACGCGGTAACATTGGATCCTTCAAGGGTGTTTATAGGATATGAATTACATAAAATTGGTATATAGGCCAAGGAAGTAATTCCAACAGTATACATGAGGTTGTCAAAATTTAAATATCACAAGAAGACCAATTATAGAGGCCTTTCGCTGCTAAACTGTCCTTCAAGTCATCCTCCAGAGCAGCTGTATGGCAGCTAAGCGCCTCAAAATTCGGTCTTCTTGTGATTTTTCAATTTTTGTATAAGACATTTCTTATTTTCAGGTAGACCTAGGACGGAGCGCGGAGATCGAGACCTTGAAAAGCAAATGCAGGAGTCATCTCACAAATAATTCTATTTTATATCGAGTGCAGCGTATAGGGTATGTTACAGTTACACTCGCTCAGAGGTAAACGAACAGTTAACATCTTATGTACACACATTTACACAAATATGTGACCACATTTGTTATAGTCTTTGTTGGCTCACTACAAGCATTGTTCAAGTGCCACTTCATCCCCTTAACACACATGTCCACCGGGGTAATAATAAGTAGAAACATCTAAACTACCTTTACAGTGCGTAACTTTCTTAGATAACGAATAGTCGCCATTTGTTTCATTTTCGTTCCTTTGCATTCTTGTTAAGAGAAAGGTCGGACGCACGGCAAAATAACATGAATGATGACACGAAGTTTGATTCAAATACCACTGCCAACACTTGAAGCTTGCACCGAATTTTCATTAAGTATAAACTGTTATAAATTACTTTGGAAAAGAGAGCCAGTAAGGTGAGTCAAGTTGAGAGCAGTTACTCACTTGTCATAAGGAAAACCAGTGATTGTAACTGCAAATAGGAAGCATTAAAGAAATCCAATAGCGTTTTGTCGCCAGCCGGGGGACAGGAATCCTTTATAAAGATGCAATGGATAAATAATGGTTTTGAGATTTTCCTTGAGTTCGCTAGTCTCATTGCCCGTCTCTGCGCTCCGTGCTAGGTCTGCTTCAAACTGAGAAATGTCCATAAAAATCTTATGGAATGAATCGAGATGGCGCTAGAAGGCAGGTTACTGGATCAAGAACCTACAAACCCGCTATCCTCGAGGTATGAATGAACGATAGGCGCTTGTTCTCTATTTGTTTCCCTTCCCGGTTGGTAAATGACAAGCTGGTTCACTGATTTTGCTCTGGTGACTTATACGCTTGTGGCTACTTGCCAGTGTGTAAGACTGACAGACGCTGTCAGATTGTCTTGTTTTCAACAATTGATGTTTTGACAAATCTTTCAGACCTTAAGATAAATACCTCTTTCCTGTTTTTGTTTTTGTTTGTCGATTTAAACCAATGATAATGCACAGTACAAAAACATTTCCATTAAAGGAATATAAGGATGTTTTGTTCCTTTAATAGCCTATCCGGTTAAAACGGCCTCACTACATGCAGTAACGACCCGAGTAAAAACAACCCTAGTTAAAACGGCCCCACCCGATATATAGTATATATTATATAGTACTGCAAGTACTACAAGTGCGTAATACTTGATATTATAAACTTATAAAGTTACATGCGCTTTTGATAAATAAATATATGTACATGCACAGATAAAAAATGTTTTAACTGTGTTTGTGTTTTCATTGATAGTTGGCCCTCCTCAGTCTCAAATACCTTTGCAATGGTAGTGTTTTCTACTTCAGTGTATATACGTCCCGTTATAATTACATTATAATTGTTATGTTTATATATGTGCATCCCGTAATACATAACTATTTATCGAAATATGCATCAATGTATCAATATATCGATAAAGGAAAGCTTTCGGAGTTGTTTGAATGTTTGTTAATAGTTCCTGCTAGTAAATATAGTCTTTGCTCAATGATTGTATATATATTTCTATCAGTGCTAATATTTTCTCCCTACCTTCACAGTTGTGTCTCCTGTTTTAGCCGGTGACACATTTTAATGACGTCACAACTGAACACGTGCTAATCTCTCTAGGGAGTGACAAGCTGATCTTGCCCGGCTCAAACGGGAGACACACCTGTGAAGGGTGGGTAAACTGTTAGCAAGGTCGTAAGCAGGTGTCGCGAAAGTTGTCAAAAACAAAGATAACAAAAACGAAGATGGTGATAAACATTCAACTTCGTAAAGATAATATCAGCCAATAAAATCTGACTGTTTGTTCAAAATAACGACTATAAATGACACGAACGATGTAGTGTACAGAAGAGGCACAGCTGTCAGCGCTGTTAGACGTTAGCTGTGCACGGCTCCCTTGTGTGGTACCTTATATAGGTTGATGGTATTAGTGCTGCTACATTCCCATTGCCGTGTATCAGCCGATACACAGGAGCGCGTGTGAGACTGACATGCTTTTCATAACGCGAGACCCGTCGACAATCATTGGAAGGTTGCTTACATACTGCAGCCGTAATTGTAAAATCCAATTAAGAAGTTAAATTTGTTCCGATGTTACCGACATTCAAAGAAATCTATTAATATGAACTATTTATCATTATTTGAAGTTGACCAACGGTGCGACCTGACCAATACATCTGTTCGGACATCAATAAGTCGGATTGAATAGTCCAGCATCAGTTACATGTACTTTTAGAAAATTTTCAGATTTTCACAAGTCAAACGCTGGTGTCTTGTGTTCCATATCCAATCTGGTCAATGTAATTGTGACTAGTTCCGGGATTGATTCTTCTGACTCCTTGATACACGTGGCGTACATGTGTCGGTGAAAAACTGACTTGTAAAGATTTATTGGAACTATCTCACGGTTTCATACAGTTTAGAAAATTGAATTTTTTTTTATAGTCTGTGTACCACGTTCTATCAGACTATGTGCCTTTGTGATAACGTAAAATAACTCATTATTTCTGTTTGTCAATTCCTACTTACAGCAATAGTGACATGCTCAATGTATTGAAATCGACTGGTTCCTCGTTATAGACAATACTGGGTAGTCAGATAGCAGAACGCTGTGTACACACTATCGCGCGCGTTCACCGTCGCGATACACACAGCACAACTATTGTCCATAGAAAGGATTTATAATGACTTCACCAGGCACGACAACTGTTATGAATTTGATTCCAGACAACACTACGGCTAATGTTTACGACGCCAGTTATTTGCAAACAGGAGAAACAAACATGAATGACTCTGTGCCAGCATTCAGGCGGTTTTCAGTGGAAGTTTCACCTGTGCCCTCCTGTATCACAGCAAGCATTGGTATACTTGGTAACGTCCTCGCCATTGTAGTTCTGTTTAGGTCCGCCAACGCTCACAAATGGAAGACATTTTACCGTCTCGTGTTAGCCCTAACTATAACGGATCTTTTCGGTATTGTGGCCACAACACCTGTCGTTTTATTGGTATATGCAAATAGCATTCAGTTCATTGGTGGACAACCTGTGTGTGACTACCTGTCCTTCATGATGGTGTTCGCAGGGTTCGCAACCATTTGCATCGTGACATCCATGTCTTTTGACCGATTTCTGGCCGTTTGGTTTCCATATTCCTATCATACGACCGTCACACGGCGACGTGTTGCGGTCACTCTTTTAAGTATCTGGTCAACGGCCATTGTCCTTGGATGCCTACCTATATTCGGTCTTGGACATAATATTACGCAATATCCAGGTACTTGGTGCTTCTTCAACTTCCATAGCACACTAATAATGGACAGTGTCTTTGCTATTCTGTATGCATCTCTTGGCATAGGAATCATTTCCTTCACAGCGATAATGAACCTTCTGGTGTCCGTTAAACTCAAACAGCAAAAGAGAAGGTACAGCTGTGTGATTAAAATCTCAGACGGTCCGTATGAAAAGAATCGCACACGGTGTCTAAGGAACAATATAACACAGATGGTATTTCTGATATCAGTGACTTTGGTGTTTGCTGTATGTTGGCTTCCCTTGATGGTAAGTAGTACTTATTACTTTAAATACTTTTGATATAAAATTACTGTTTTCTACTTTGTTATAGAATAATTTTTAATGAAATATAGCAAATAATGTTCTTGCTCTTTTCATTTTGGGAAAATAGAGCGTTTTTGCTAGGGGAACTATCCTGTGTGCTGCTGGGAAAATGGATAAAAAGAATCACTAACATGTTATTATTATTTTTCTGCTTTGTTAGAATTTTGCTTTACACCTGAGTGTCTATGCTTACGATTGCCGTTATCAGTCTGGCAAAAACCTGTTACTAAAACAAAAATTTGCCCAAATCGTCCTCGTTTCTGATAAGACCAACATACACGATTGGTACTGAATTTATTAATTTGACCAGACAAGAACACACTAACGGCAAGTTCCTGCGGTCAAGTTAAGCATAGTAACGTTTTTTTGCCATTGAAAGAAACATGGTTTGGGCAAATTTCTCTTATAGTAATTTGTTTTGTCGCTGACAGAAAACATAGTTTGGACAAATTTCTCTTTCAGTATTACTTTTTTGTTATTGACAGAAAACACGGTTTGGGTAAATATTTATTTTAGTTAAAATGTTAGTGACAAATTTCTACATTGGAAACACTTGTTTGCACTACATCTTGCTAATATTGTAATATCAGTTAGAAGGATGTTTTACCAGGTTTGGTTATAGTCATCGTATACTACTGAGTGTTTTTTATGTAAAAAAATCCAGCGATAAAGACGGTATATACAGATAAGTTGTCAATTTTCAGAATATATAAATAATACATATCTTTGTGAAAATATTTATGTAACACATAAGTACGACATGGTGATAGTAAACATATTCTGGTAATTTGAAAACATGACCCTTAAGGATATCGTAACCTATTTGTTTTGATTATCATCGGGATATACAATTAAGTACATGTATTTGCTTTAAACCACACTCGGCGGATTGTCACAAAAGTGGTGGCGATTTTCAAGTACACTAGTGTATTTTGTATCGCTTTTCATAGCTATAATTAAATATATAATTAAAAAAAAAAAACAGAAAGTAATCCTCCCAATAATAAAGTCATAGGACTTTGGTAATCTCAGTATTGGATTTGAATTTGTTAATATGCTTCTGAAACATGTTCAAACGTTGTATCGATTCGTTAATGTTGCAGAATATAAAATATAAAACCCCTGGTAAACAAATCTTACCTATTATACTTGATCGAAACCAGTCTGCATGCTTTTAAACGTGCAACAGATAAATAAATAAAACGCCAGAATGAGGAAGAGTGTACGCCAAACGCAGACCAAGGAGACAGGCTGCATAACATGACGGATACCACAGCACGTTCATTCACGTCTTTATATCAATATAAACCTAGTATTCATTGTGTGTGACTAGCAGACTAATTCCAATTCATAATTGCTTGATCATTAGCATCAAATTAGGAAGAATCTGCGTCACAGGATATCTGGAATTGACACACATCGTTGGTTTATGACGCAAATATGTCTGAATATGTATAAAGGGCTTGTATGATGGTAAATGTCACATGGCCAAGCTTCATCAGCATTCAAGAACTATTTAGACTTCTAGTTGTTTGGTGTCAGCTTTTACTTATAATTGATGATATCATAAATCGGCAAAACATTGGTCAATGTTAGGAAACAGAAATGTTGAGGACATTGTTGACACAGAAATTTTGAGGACATTGTTGACACAGAAATGTTGAGGATATTGTTGACACAGAAATGTTGAGGACATTGTTGACACAGAAATATTGAGGACATTGTTGACACAGAAATATTGAGGACATAGTTGACACAGAAATGTTGAGGACATTGTTGACACAGAAATGTTGAGGATATTGTTGACTCAGAAATGTTGAGGACATTGTTGACACAGAAATTTTGAGGACATTGTTGACACAGAAATGTTGAGGATATTGTTGACAAAGAAATGTTGAGGACATTGTTGACACAGAAATGTTGAGGATATTGTTGACTCAGAAATGTTGAGGACATTGTTGACACAGAAATGTTGAGGATATTGTTGACAAAGAAATGTTGAGGACATTGTTGACACAGAAATGTTGAGGATATTGTTGACAAAGAAATGTTGAGGACATTGTTGACACAGAAATGTTGAGGACATAGTTGCCACAGAAATGTTGAGGACATTGTTGACACAGAAATGTTGAGGATATTGTTGACAAAGAAATGTTGAGGACATTGTTGACACAGAAATGTTGAGGATATTGTTGACACAGAAATGTTGAGGGCATTGTTGACACAGAAATATTGAGGACATTGTTGACACAGAAATGTTGAGGATATTGTTGACAAAGAAATGTTGAGGACATTGTTGACACAGAAATGTTGAGGATATTGTTGACACAGAAATGTTGAGGGCATTGTTGACACAGAAATATTGAGGACATTGTTGACACAGAAATGTTGAGGACATAGTTGCCACAGAAATGTTGAGGACATTGTTGACACAGAAATTTTGAGGACATTGTTGACACAGAAATGTTGAGGATATTGTTGACACAGAAATCTTGAGGACATTGTTGACACAGAAATATTGAGGACATTGTTGACACAGAAATGTTGAGGATATTGTTGACTCAGAAATGTTGAGGACATTGTTGACACAGAAATTTTGAGGACATTGTTGACACAGAAATGTTGAGGATATTGTTGACACAGAAATGTTGAGGGCATTGTTGACACAGAAATATTGAGGACATTGTTGACACAGAAATGTTGAGGATATTGTTGACACAGAAATGTTGTGGACATTGTTGACACAGAAATATTGAGGACATTGTTGACGCAGAAATATTGAGGACATAGTTGACACAGAAATTTTGAGGACATTGTTGACACAGAAATGTTGAGGATATTGTTGACTCAGAAATGTTGAGGACATTGTTGACACAGAAATATTGAGGACATTGTTGACACAGAAATGTTGAGGATATTGTTGACTCAGAAATGTTGAGGACATTGTTGACACAGAAATGTTGAGGATATTGTTGACACAGAAATGTTGAGGACATTGTTGACACAGTTAATGTTTTAATGTTGACACAGTTGATGTTTTAATGTGGACACAGTTGATGTTTTAATGTTGACACAGTTGATGTTTTAATGTTGACACAGAAATGTTGAGGATACGACGAAGGAAATGGTGACTATACACAAGATTGGTGACAAATTATGACATAATGAATGTGAAGGTGACGTCAAAAACGATTGATGATATAATGAATATCAAGTTTACAACACCGAAACATTAATGACAAATCGAACATGATGACGCTTCAGAAAAGCTGAAGACACAATGAAAGGCCGCTGTAACGATACCAAAGCATTTTCACTTAGCAAAGACCAGTGTGATGTTATTGTGTATCATTGCTCTTACACTATTCGACAACTTTATACTGCGGATAATAGAGTGCTACACCTGTGACGTCAATTATATAATGTAAACAGACTCGTTTTTTTTATATAGATAACGAGCGTTAGTTGTGTGTAATTATGAGATCATCGATATACATACAATACGTAAAACGCATGGATGACTGGCTGTGATAATTTAAAAATCATCTCCTCGTTTGTCTAAATAGCCTCAAAATGTTATTGATGCCATTTATGGCTTAATTAAAAGAGTAGGGGCAATCAGCCCTGATGACCAGTTATTTTTCTGTGCTTTTGTTTTGAATATCAAACACTGCTGAAGGTTGTTATTTTGACAAAGAGTTGAATATGATAAATCAGTAGAATGGCGGACAAAAAACTCCCAGTTACAATTGTGCTGGATGAGAGCTATTGTATTCAATAGCATACTGTTTATCTCCAAAATAGAACAAGGTCATTCATTGGACTATTGACGTTGGGACAAAGAATTTGAAACATAACAATTTTGTCTAAAAGGATGAATTCATTAACATCGATCCTTGCTATCTATCAATGGCATACCGGAAGTTGTAACTATAACGTTATTACTGCAAATTGTATATTTATTACGTAGAAGACGTTTACCTGCAGAAACAACCGTTTGAATGTAGCACATTCATAAATCTTTTGTTGCCAAAGAAAAGATCAGAATCGGTGAAAGAACGTAGAAAAGCACTAAAAATATGGCCTCGTAACTGACCCGAAACACCAGTTTCACCACTATAAGATAGCCTAAGTTTGACTTTCTTTGTGTACAAAAACTTCACAACTCTTTAATGGCATAAACAGGGAATATTTCATAACAAGATATATCTATTCTTTGTAGCAAGGGAATCCAATTGCATATCTAGAAATGCACATCTTGTTACTTAACGTAATCTATATGCATATATGAAATTGTTTACCGGGCTACTTCATACCCAATTAGTGTGTATCGACGCACGTAAAATACGTGTTTTAAGGAACGTGCTAAAAATGCTGCCAACATTCCTAAAATATCATCATGAACGACAATTTTGTCTGGTAACCATGACAATGTATCCAGGTGCCTTTTATTTAAGGAAGGGAGAAGTCAGTAAACACAGTTGTACCTGCCCTTAAATCAGTACCACCGCGAAGATACACAAAAGATCAATCAATGTATTGGCTTACTTAATGTGTGTTATTGCAATTTTGTTTTGAATCCCGGAAAATCGGCTTCCGTTTCCCTTTACATATTTAGGTTTTAGTATTTACTATTACAAACATTTAATGTTATAATTATTTATATGGGATAACGGTCATGGTATGTCTATCATGGTTACATGGCGGTGATAATACATGCTGAATAACTTTATAATACTCAAATATTGTGTTATTTTGGAGAACCTAGAGACTAGAACAATTTATGTCCAACCAAACAATTTGATGTAAATTATTCCTTTCATACATGTAAATAAACGTGTTCAACGATCCGTACTAGCAAACAGCATATCAATCATACGACAATGTTACCTTGGAGTGCATCAGAACGGTCTCATAATGCCGATAGAACGTTTATAGGTGTTTGTGGTCAATACAGAAACCGATTGTGTCTGCATCTGATCACCCATTACCCATTACGTCGATAGGCAGACAGTCCCCGGACGTTGGCACGCTACATTACCGCAGAGTTTGAGTAAAAACCTACATCGTTCAGGCCGAATACCCATACAAATGTCAATAACATATGGTCAATGAATATTACAGGTGTTCAGTTTGAGTTGAATGGTTGGTAAATACGCGCCCACTGCGGTGCATCAAGTCCAATGATAAATACAGATTTTCATTACTATAAATGTGCTAGATTTTAACCAACGAATCTGCTCTGAAATTATCGTCTAATGCACTTAACAGCCATGCTATGTCGTTTTTCATGCGTTATATTTCGCGATGAAAACTAAAAGCTGTACGTCCTTAGTGTTTCCCAAACACGACACTATTCATCAGGTTAATATTTAATGCCTAAAAATATGCGTATTATTTTTTGCATATTTTTTTTTTATTTCTATAATATTGATCGAATCGTTGTTGTAATGTCTGTTAAAGAAATCCCTTTATCCGATGATAGTGTAATGCATTTACATGATTTCTAATAATGTTCACCCTCATGTATATTCTTGAGATATTCGGTCAACATAATGATTTTTATTTAACGTGTCTCAATTTGCATGTTATTGTTTAATCGATTCTTAATATTTTAATTCTATTATTTTCTGTTGAGTACGAGTTAAATGAATATCATGTCAGATGGAAACAAACTCGTTTATTGTTATCTCGTTAATAAGACTGTACCATAGTAAAGTTCTCAATGTCGCCCTCTTGACTTAACATATATTGCCATCATGCTGACGTCACTATGTGTCACGTAACACGAGGTGGAACTCTCTATGGAGATATAATGAAGTGTATAAGCTTTCCAAAGATGATCATGAACTACTATTAAAACACAAATGAACTTCTATAAATGAAAGTATAAAAAAAAAACCATTTTTTAAACAGCATATTATAAAAGGTATATTAATGTTTTACTTATTTATTTAAATACTGAATGGCAATCAACATAAGCACGTCTCTAGCTTAGCTTTTGTCATGCATTTACTATTTTAATATTATTGAAAGTCTGTTTCTGATTTCTTCTGTTGCAAATCAGTAAAGCAAATCTACACAATGACTTCTAAGCAAATGTAAATAGATTTAGCTAACATGCATGCCATTATATATCTGCTTTATACACAAATATACGTAAAGGCCAACTTTCTAGATTATAATACAACGTTTAAATAGGCATATCAAACTAGTGGTATCCTAGCGTTGGATGTAAACATATACAATAATGTTTTGTTTGTTAGTGTTGTGATAAAGGTCAAATGTGGTCTGGCATCCTAAAATTTACTTCGTGTCAGTCATTCATTTGTATGTGATTTCTAAACAATAGTTAACTACAAAAATGTATGTTAGATGTAAGCTGTCTAAGATAAAGATTAAAAATATAACAAACGCTTATTTGACCTGAGTATTATCGTTATTTTATTTTCAGATTCAAGTGTTAATAAAACAGATTCAGAAGAGCACCGGTCCTGACTGGGTTGATCTGATGGCAGTGCGTCTTGCAGCAATCAACCAAATCCTTAATCCCTGGATCTACATCATACTGCGGAAGGAGTTTCTCTCAGATATCTGGACAGTGGGCCTCAAGTCTTGTAGGATACCTTGCGCACGGGTACCTGATAATAATAATGTGGGTGATATAGCTGTCTCTGTCTCGAGCAGAAAACAAACTACATGCATGTTCACAGATCACACAGAATTGGCGGTATTAAAAACGTGATAACAGGAGGAAGTGTTAATGTATAGCTTATAAACACAATCATACGCTGGATGTGTACTTCCAGTCAGTCGTGACGCCTTGTAGACCACCGATGGAGTATATATATAGTCCTTTTCAGAGCATACACTTTCCTGCCATTAGTATCGCCCAGAAAATGACTGATTGGGTGTATACCAGGGGTAGCAACATAAACATTCTTATCAGAAGACAAATTATTGAGTTTTAACATTCCTGTCGGCAGTACAACTCGGAAGAGCAGTGATTGAGTGTTAACTTTCCTGCTAGTGGTGTCTCTCTAAAGACAAGTGTATGAGTCTTCAGAGTAAACATTCCTGACAGTTGTATTGCCCGGAAGACAACCGATGGAGTATATGGCCTTGTCAGATCTCAAACATTCCTGACAGTGGTATCGCCAATATGACTTCTTAACAAAGGCAAAACAAAATCTCTCCTTTATTCAGCTTAGGATCAAAACAAGTTTATTTACATTTGCCCCCGCGCCGTCCCATTACAACAGTGTTAGAGGGCAAGTGTAATTATATAGGCTATAATTACAACTGCTCGACTATAATTACAACTGCCTGTTTCAGGTGTAGGAATATGTAAACAAACAAAATGGCCGCCTGTAATGTATTTTGAGGCAGGGCAAAATAAACTTACATTGATTCGTATAAATGTGTCAAACTCAGTCTTGTAACACATAATGCAAGGACTGAAGTTCCTATACTATGTTGCAATCATTTTTACGTAAAAGACATAGTCCGTCACGCTATAACGTGCGGGTACCAGAAATGGAACAGTACTTAAAATAAAACACTTATCGTTCGTATGATACAGCGTCTTTATTTTGCAACTGCATGTATTCAAATTTGGATACATTGTATATTATCAAGCAGTTTCAGCCCCCCTCTGATATGTTCCTCATTACGATTCAACAAGTACCAAGTAAATGTATTTGGTCACGAGGGACCGCGGTGGCCAAGTGGTTAAGCCGATTGACATTCTGCTACCCATAGCCCTCCACCACTGGGTTGCGGGTTCGAGACCTACGTGGAGCAGTCGCTAGGTACTGTCCGTTGGTCGGTGGTTTTTCTTCAGGAACTCCGGCTTTCCTCCACCACCAAAACCTGGCACGTCCTTAAATGACCATAGCTGTTAATAGGACGTAAAACACAAACAAACCAAACCAAATTGTTTGGTCTTCGTAAAAACCCAACGCTATGATAAATCATATTTAGACCCAATTAGATATCAGTTTTGAGATATGAATATATTAAGCTTAAACTTTTGTCATTTAATTGAATTTAGATTGGTCTGTAATAAGACGTTTTGATTGGTATTTTCATAAAAATAGTTTACCGATATTATAACATGCAAGTATTAAAACTGATGTACATAATGTCGTATATTTATTGTCTGGGTCATGCAAAAAGGGCGGGCCGCGGTGGCCAAGTGGTTAAGACTTCTGACATTCTGCTACCACTAGCCCTCCACCACTGGGTCGCTTGCTCGAGGCCTACGTGGGGCAGTCGCCAGGTACTGACATTCGGTCGGTGTTTTTTCTCCAGGAACTCCGGCTTTCCTCCACCACCAAAACCTGGCACGTCCTTAAATGACTATAGCTGTTAATAGGACGTAAAACACAAACAAACCAAAAAATCACGCAAAGCTAAACTCCTCTGCTATAAGCTGTTAAGAAGCATACCGCCTTCAAATCATGACGGAGGTGTCAAGTCGAAACCCCAAATATCATAAAATAACTTAGTCATTGTATCGACTTGAACACTATCTCTGTTCTGTAATGGTTGAATATAATGACTTGGATTCAAAGGGGTAACGAATGAGTGCTTTGTTGAATTATTTAGAAGCAGGCCATTAACGATGGTCTCCATTTACTGACTTTTTTTCTGCATGAATGGAATGCATCTCATACAATAACGTTAGATTTGTAAAAAGGTCCACAATCTTATTTTAAGGTTTGTGAAAATGTTACGTACCATAGCATAGTGTTTCTGTTTTATATGCTCAGTATCACTTCGTGTTTACAAAGATCTTGTTTGTATGTTCATTGTTTTACGATTTTGTGGCTAAAGTGAAAATAAAGTATTTTTCTAAAATATATGCATTTATTATTTTCAATGACTAGTATTGTGACACTGTCGACTTTAATCGGAGAAATATATTTAAAGGAATTGAACAGGATTGAGTTTGTTATTAAGTTGTTATTAGGCAATACCTTTTTGGTGATAATCAACATATAGTGTCAAGCTACATGTATGATAATAAATGTTGATAGTAGTTATACAAAATACTTATGATTACGAAAAGATTATTATGCACTTCCCTCATTCACCCCTAAAATGTGATAATGAATAATTCCAAACTTTGAATTTGCAAATGTGTCTTCAGGGGTGAATGAGTAAAGGTTAAATCTGTCTTTTTGTGCTTGGTTGTTCGAAAGATGAAATACTTAAGACAACACTTTAATGCCTATATGTACAATCTTTACTTGACATTTAATTTTTTATTTGAGAAGTTAGGTCTGACGATTATGTGTTGTTAAACACTATGGCATGATTTCGGCCTACTGATGGAACAGCCATTCTGTAACTTCAGTCAAACTAAACGACGTGTCAACAAGTTAACATAAGTGTTCTGTAACAATGAGACGTTATTTTAGCAAAAAAGCACAAGCCTGTCACATACTTTGCAGCAAATTCTATCTTACACTATTTACACATGGAAATGTAAAGAACGTAAGAAATTTAGAAGAGACAGTTAACGGTGATACCGTTCATGATTACATTGCTATTTGCTGTGTTTGGCAACGTAAGTGATTTAGTGTTGTTTGGTAACATGTATATTTGGTTTTCTGTCAGGTAACAGCTATATGATCTATTAACGATGAGCCCCAATGTGTGTAATATATCCGTGTGTGCCGGAAACAGTACTTTGGTGTGTTTGTCTCCTTTCAATAGCGCAGATCATACACCGACTTTAGAGTGCTACTGCATTGATTTTCTACGCCGAAGGCACCCAGTGTTCCACGCAATAACATGATACTGACAACCAGGTTAACCAGTTGGAACGATTACCTTTAATTTTGGAACGTAAAGCAGGGGCAACAGTTAACATTTGTATTACGGACGTTTATATATCCCGCACTTTGGAGACAGAATTGATTGCCTTCCCAACTATTGCGAGCGGTTAATGTTTAGACCAAAAGTATGGTATTTCCAAGCAAGACGCTAGGAAAAAAACAAGTTATTAGGAGGAAGAGGTAAAATATCACTATCCCAATTATTGCAGCAGATTGTTTTTTTTGCTATTTCCATGTCCCAAAGTTAAGGACACAAACGCTAATCCGATATTGTGCAGGCCCAAGTTAGTTGCACCCGACAACATGAAGTGTTTAACAACATGTGTATTGTTTTCTCCGTTCCCGAACTGTGGGGTGAAATTAATTGAAGTTGATCAAAGGTAAATTGCAATAGGAAGTTATGCAGCCAGGTTAAGTTCGTTTGGTAGCACCTACGCATTGATGGCTCAATGGTTAGTTAGCTTTAATCAGTGGTTAGTGAAAAAATCAAATTATAGCCACTGCTTTCAAAGTGAAAATTAAAAAAATGATCAAAGCAGATCAATATGATGATATATTCTTGATTTTGTGGTATTAAAATGTTTCCTAGACACTGGTTAACTCTTAACAACAGCTTTTGAACAACCAGGGCCTTGTTTCAATGGCTATGTTGATGTCACCATGACCAGCAAGTTAAGTTCAAGAAAACTATTGACCTCTACAGTGTTTGGTCTTTGGCTGACAATGTGACTTGTGTTCGCCTTACATTGACATTACAATGCACCTAGGGAAGCACATGAGCAGCGTAGATTCGGAATCTTTAACCATCCGCATTATAGTATAATTGCATGTACAAGCGAGTTTGCAATAAGCACAAATGAAACTTTTCAACACTTATAAGTAACTACGGGAATTGTCAAATATCATTAAAAAATGTGAAAAGGGAAAATCAGTGGACGAATATAAGTAAAGGTTTCAATCCTAGACAGGGTTATTCAGCGTTCTATCTCCACGGCATCCAAGAGAAAACCCTCATGTCAAGGGAGAAATTGCTTAGGTCAATACACCAGTAAGCCTTATCTCTGCATTGTTAGCACTATCCATTGGGAGCATTGCCTTAGAGTTAGTTAGCGATATTTTCCATTATAAAACATTTCCCAGTGTATTGATTTTTCCAGATAGATGAGTAATTAAAGCATCTGACGGGTAGCGTTTGACTATAATGTACACGTCTTATTTATAAATTCCTGATAGTATTCACTAGTATTAAAACATCTAATGATATACAATTCATTAGCTTACAAGTCATCTCCAATATGATAAAAGTATTCACTGTAATCGTTGATTGAAAAAGAGCATTGCAGCTTTAAGGTGCTGTGTACATGTCAAATGACCGTTTTTCTACTAATGTTTGTCATGTTACAAGTACAAACTTTTGTTTTGATCGTCTTTCCAACCTCGTTAGGAGCCATCGCAAAGGTACTAAACACAATAGTAGCAGAGAAAAAAATGCTACAACAAAGTGATCTAAAAACAGTTTGTTGTGTCTAATACTGTTTATAGAAATGTCACAGCCGATGAGACCATCTTACCATTAAGTATCCAAAGGGACATTTGGGTATACCAGCATGGGTTAAACCTAAGGTCAGGTTTACAACAACGGCCCTAAATATCCATCTAGCTGATGTTTCTATTCTTCATTCCCGTTAATAGCCCGGATTTAATGACATTGTACCTTGCTGTAGAGTGCTGTTGCCATAGTGATATTAGTGTGAAGTTTAACTCTCAACAACGCATTGATGTAAAGTGAAATACTTTGGATCTATCACAATACTGTGTACTAGGGTACTTTCGCCCATTCAAACTTTCGCCCTTCGCCGGTAAAATCCAATTTTAATTTCGCTCTTCACATTTAATAGTTATGAATATCGTGTTGTACTATAATGTTAGCTGTAGAGGTAATTTCGCCCTCATTACGAAGGGCGAAAAAGGCGAAAATTAAACTGCAGTTAAAATGTTCCGGTATACTTAATATAGTACGTAGTGTATCCCGTATGAAACCAGTCTTCGAGTGTTTCATTTTTTTAAGACTTTGGTGAGCTAAAATGATAAGTTTTCATTAAAGTTCTTTTGAAACTCCAGAAAACTCTAATATAATGGATACGATTTTATACTATATATATTTTATACATATACCTGTAGCTTTTAATATTTGCATTTAAGTTTGCATAACAGCGTTAGGTTTTAAGTACTTTCAACATGTTGGGATTACGTCCGTTGAAGTATTTGTGTTACTAACATTTTCGACAATTTCGCTGGTGTTAAGACTTCGCGGATATTAGTCAAAGCGGGAATATAGCGAAATTAAAACCCCCGCGAAATATAGCCATTATACAGTACATGTGGCGGCCACTAGTGGTAATAACAGACACTTTACCATGTGTGGAATGGAGCGCTCATGCG